CCCGCCCGCAGCGCTCCGCAGGGAGCCGGGAAATCCTTAACTACCAATCCTTTATTTGCCGAAGAAATCATCATTACGTACGGCAGTAACTAAATAAGGATTTAGAGGTTTGATCTTAAGAGGTTTTACTATATATATATATATATATATGTATATAACTTTTTATTTTATTTTTTTAAGGTTTGCTTCCTTTCCCCCCGCGTAATTAGTTTTGTGAGATGGAGTGGTAAAAATACCGCGGTGATTGAAGTTCCTTGCACTGCAGTGTCGAGCGAGACAACACTAAAGGCATCAGGAAGCATCGGTGCATCTTGCAGCACCAGTATCTAGGTCATCCGTGGCTTTTGGGCTGCACAGCGTAAAAAGCTCCTGGTGCAGCTATTACAGAGGTGTCTTTCTTCTGGATGCTGGGAGTGTTGCCCGATGTAAATGAAGAGGTTTCCAGTTTACTGTGTATTGTTAGGAGCATATCACTGTTGGGCAATAAATTACCTTAGTCAATTACTTTGAGTAATTATATATGCTAGATATACCAAATATGTGTCTTCATCCACAAGAAATTCCTGAGTTAGGAATGACTTCAGTTGCTGCAAGCCTACCACTTAGAATCTTCCTTAATAAACTTAATTGTTTTCCTTCTTGACCTTCCTCACCTCATTTGAGAGGGTGTGTTAATCTCTGAGGTGACATTCTGGCAGCAAAGCCAACCTCCGAATTGCTACCTGCTTCCCATAATTGTGGCTTCTCTGTACAGCCTTATCTTGCCACTCTTCAAGGTTGTCCTTGTTGTACAAAGAAAAATCAAGCACATTTTGCGAAGCTTGAGTGTTCTAGCAGTGTTACTGCTCTAGAAAGCTTCTACATCAAACAATTTGAACAATATTATGCAATGTAGATAGGGTTTGCTTTTGTATGTAGCCACTAGCTTAAACAGTACAGCCTTTTTGTTCTGTTGCATAAGTAACAAGGAACAACTAGTGCTTCTCACCCGTTTATTTGTCAATAATAAATCTTCTTTCCTTTAAGGCTAGGTAGCAGAGCTGTAGTATTTTTGCATTTTTACTTCTGATAACAGCCATAGTCTTCCTGGTTTTCCCTTCTTCCAGAAGCGCTGCAAAAGCTTCTCTCACACACAGCAGTATTTTCCCCCAAAGGCAGTCGAAGTGGCTCTGTCTGCTAGTGCCCAGTTATCTTGAACAAAGCCATAGAGTCCTATTTGTAGTGAAGAGCTTGCAGGGACATGGAACCAGCTGGAAATGCAGAGGAGCAAGCATTATACAGCCAATCAATTCACAGGAATCCCACTACATCTTTGTAGAGCCACATTTTAGCAATGGCCAGGTTAGAGTTCAACTGAAAACAAGCATGACCTGATAAAGGCTTTCTGTAATTAGCTCCTCATTTTTGTGAGGTGGGTCAGTCAGGTCAAAACAAACAGCAAAAAAAAATATCCAGCTGGCAGAGCAATGAAGGACAGGCAATTAAAAGTGTGAAAGAGACTGAAAAATATTTCACCATGCATTTCCTCCTTCAAAGGTCTGGTTCTTTTACTTTGTGGGCTCAGCAGCTGATGTGAATGGCCCTCTTAATTCAGATCTGGAGCTGAAATAGGCCAATAGTGCACAGCTGGGTTTATGAAATAAAAATGGAAGTGTCTTTAAAGCTAAAAGTGGTCATGGAAAAGTTCCAAAGTTCAGAAAGCCTAAGAATAGAAGAGACAAATGGCAAGACCAAACAGACTTTGCTTAACAATTAATTTACTTATAATAGAACTAGCACACTTGGTTTTGCTCTGCTGTCCTCTAGTCTCTCGCTTCTGAGAGGGCTTAGAAGTTCAGAACTGAGCTGCTGCATATATTTCCGAGGTCTGAAATCTGAGGATGTAAGATGAGCCATATTTTAAAAGCATAGTCCCTGTTGGGCATGCACTCATGGGCTAAGGGAAGCCGAGCAAAGACCCTTTGGTTTTGTTTTGTTTCAAAAACAGAGAGCTAGCTGAGAACCATAAACCACCAGTGCACATAAGAGTATTTACTGCAATAAGTAATATGCTTAATTTACTAAAAGGATAATAAGAAGTTCATTTTGGCAATAAGTACAAAAACAGACAATGAGTACAAAAAGGTCCTGAGGAGGGGGTTGAGAAGGGAGCAAAAGAGAAAATTTGCCAACATAAATTCTTTTTTCCATGCCAAAATATTCTACTATCTTTCAGTAAGAAGCTTAGACTTTAGTCACTTTCAGTCTAAATATGTCTTCTTGACATATGAAGAACATGAAGTAAAAATAAAAAATGGGATGACCTTGAGGCTGAGGTGCCATCTGCTCCCATCCTATTTCAGTATTGCAGACCTGTGCTGTGAACTCTTCACAGTGTGCGCTGAAATGGTATCCAAAGCATGTTTCCCTTGCTTTTTCCTAGGGAAATTCCAGTTCCTCCACTGCTGGATGGAGAAGTCAAGGTAGCAGGATAGGACATAAAAGCATGTTTAAACATTCATAAGACCTAAGCTCCAAGTTCACTGCCATTCTGTAAAAGCCTGTGGTGTGGCAAGATAGAAGAACTGTTGTAGAAATGCATTACTCTTGCTGTTTGGATGTTAAATAGAGTCTCTTTCCTTTCTCTTTGCTGACAAATAAGATTTTATATACCAGGGGTAGGGAATCCTCTGGTCACATACTCCAAGCATGTGTGGCTCAGGGTTGCTTTGGAATGGAGGTGAGGTCAGAGAGGACATCTCAAAGAGAAGCTGAATATTACATGTGTGGTAAGAAAGAAAACAGGAAATTTAGTCCTGGAAGGAGACAAGGAGGCAAGTGCTCCCTGGGCCAACATGGCATCTTGTTTGGCAGCAGGTCAGAAGGTAGGATGCAAATAGCACTGCAAGTTTTGTGGGTTTGCTTTTTTTCTTTCTGGCAGAGGCATAGTCAATACTAAAAGTTTTCTCTGAAGAGAAAAGGGCTAGGTATAAGTTTGTGCTTGCACCACAATCATGGTATTTTTTCTGACAAATTGTTGGGCTTGGTCTTTGAGTCATACTGTGTTTGGTCTCTCCCTCTCAGGTAGCTTCTCTTATGTCACTTGGCATCCTGATTCAGAGGGATGCAATGTGCAGAAAAAAAAATCTGGCTTTGCTAGGTCATCAGCTTTTATATGCAACAGTCCCAAATGGAGCTGATGCTTCTTACAGCAAACGTGAACCTTAAAAGATTTACCTGATCTTTTGATTCAGTAGAATGCAGTTCACTGAAAGCTTGCTCCACTGGAGTACTTCCTGGTGAAGGCATCGCTTTTCTTTCATATGGTAACATCAACAGACTAACAAGTTGTTATTTAAAAGCATGGAAAGACGTGGTGAGTGAAATGCAAATGCCTCAGGCAGGGAAAAAGGCATTCGGGTCAGTGGTGTCTGACAGCTGGTGCTCCTTTGAAAGACAAAGTCATTTGAGGTGAATATTGAAAGCCTGGGTGTTTGCCCGTGGTTCAAATTTCAGGCTCTGTATCTTTGAAGAGAAAAGGGTAATTCCAACCATTGGGAAACCTGATCCCTGATGGAGGTGCTCTGCCTTTAATAAAAGTGTTCTGTTTTGGGACTGCTGCTCACAAATCCCCTTATTGTTAAATTTTTCAGTCAGCTCCTTTCTACAAGTTTCTTCAAAAAGAAAACTGACAGGGTTAAAGATAATCTTGATCAGATGTTCAGTGTGTGCTGTGTGCATCGTGTATTGCTAAGTAGCTGTGACAGATCACAGGGTGTAATTTTCTCTCTAAGTGTATTGCACCAGGATAAATGCAGGAGCAGCAGAAATGTGACTGTGAAGGCTGGTGTGGTGGGTGGTGGTGGCATCCTTTGGCTCTGTGAAGAGCTGTGTGTAATTCATGGCTCTGTGAAATTACCTGCCCAGCTGCTGTTGACTGAATTACTACGCTGTGATCCAGAAATCTCCAGCTATGTGTTCCTGGACATGGCTGGTAAGAGGTGTTGCTTCCCATGCTTTTTTCGGCTCCAGCCTTGTTCCATTGTCTTTGGCTAGTGAGGGTGAAGGAATATTCACTAGGCAGTTCACCTCCTGAAAGGCTGCAGGAGGGAGCTGGAGGTGTTTGTCCCTGATGGGAGAGGGAGCAGGGTCTGTTTCTGTGGCTTGCTGCTGGCATGCCTGACACTGCATCTGGGGGCTGTGCTCAAACCACCCCATGGCCTTGCTCCTCATCCTCACACGTGCACAGCGGAGCTTTCTCGAAGAAGGCGCAGTGTGTAACAGGTGAGGCTCTGCTACGAGGGCAGGACGGGCAGCCCCTGTGGCACAAGGACCTCACATGTTCAGATCCCACAGCCTGAGCAGCTCCATTCCGGGGACCTTGTGGTCCAGAGCAGAATGTGCGTTTTGTGCACAGATATTAAACGTGGCATGTGATGCCGTGCGTGAAGGAATTTTTCTAAAATATTTGATAAAGAGAGCCTGAGCTGAAGAGGCTGGAAGCTGGGCAAAGGAGGGAGTGGTTCATTGGAAAATTCCCATTTTGCATTTCCAGAAGGTGTAAAGAACTGTGGGTAAAGTTTCCTGTGACCAAGCTGCAGTTATGCTAATGTTTCCTTGCAGCTTCAGACACTGTTTTTCCCAGAGGAGACAACTGGAGTGTTTCCCTGGTACAGGCAGTTTAGATTCACCTTGAATTAATGGAAATTCAATATGCACTTATTATGGGTGCATAAAACGTGAGCTGATTTGGGCAAATACGGGTAATAACACTGGGGAACACTGGGTGTAGGACACATGCTCTAACAGCAAGATGTGTTCAGTGAGCAGTGACAGTAATAAGAAAAGCCAAGAGTGTGGCAATCTGATTCTTTGGCCTTTTTTTTTTTTTTTTTTTTTTTGGGAAAAAAAGCCTGCCCTTTCTCATCTGAAACAAAAATATTTTGCAAATATGCTCTTAAGACTGAAACCTTGACTGGCAGTAACCTGCCTGCTTCTTCTGTGAGACATTTGAGGCAGAGGGGTGGTGCCAAGAGTTACAACAGGTATTTTATGCAGCTTGGGTAACGTAGGAGGCCCTCCCACCTCAGCTCCATTTAGTGTTCCACATGGTGTTTTCCAGCAGGAATCATTTGGGTATGTATTCCAAGCATGCCTGGCAAAAGGCATCTGAAATTACAAGGGCACAGAGGGGCCAGAGGCTGCCTAGGGACACTGCCAGCATAGGTAGTACAAGCGTCAGCTGAGCAGAAGAGCACTGGAGATCTGGCCTTCCACATCTGGGGAAGAGGTGCAGTGGCATGGGCCCCCAAGACTGCTCCCACTCTTGGGGCTGGCCAGAGCAGCTCAGAGGACACTTGAGGATGTTAATTTTCTCTGTGGCATAGATGCTGTATTAATCAAAATAATATAATAAAATAACCTGTAACTGCAGTTCCTTGGGGTTTCAGAAAAATCACTCTGCAGTGTTGTTTCTGTCTTGTCTAAATTATCTTCAACTCAAGTATTACTTTTGCAACAAAGTTGGTCTTTGCAGGTTTTTTTCCCCATTCTGCACTCTTTGCTCATGGTAAGGAGAGCATAAATTTAGTTTTGTTCTGTTCTTAAGTGTACTGGGGATGTTGAGCTTATCTAACAGAAACAAGCCAGGTGTGCTACAGTGTGTAAATGCCACCAGGAGCACTTTGTCCTTCTCCTAGAACAGAGAAAGAAAAAACAGTTTGTGTGCTGTAATGCAACTGACTCCAGGTCACCTGGTGGTTTCAAATCATAATGAAACTATAGCTTCTCTGTCATTTTTCTTTTCTCTCTCTGCTTCTTATTTACTCCACAGCTGAGTCAGAGCAGGCTAGGGATAGTTCTTCTGACACTTTGGACTCTGCATTTGCACCCTCACTTGTTCAGGGGTAAAGCCAGCTTGAGGATCTCCCAAACTGCATTTCGTGCCCTGTGTTGGCTCTGGCTAAGACAGAGTCAGCTTTTTCCATAGTGGCCTGTAGGGTGCTGTGTTTGTGACCAAAACAGCACTGGCAGCACCACCAGCGTTTTAGTCTTCACTGAACTGTGGTTGCACAGCATCAAGGCCGCCTCTGTTTCTCACTCTGCCCTCCCACCAGGGCAAACAGGCTGGGGGTGCGCAAGAGGCTGAGAGTGGAAGCAGCCAGGACAGCTGACCCAGGTGATGGAAAGGACATGCTGGACCCACAGCATCCCACTCAGCAATAAAACCAGGCTGTGGGCAGGAAGTTTCTTCCAAAGTAGCTGTTACTCAGAGACTGGCTGGGCACCGATCTGTTAGTGGGAGGTGGTGAGTGGTTGCCTTTGCATCATTTATTTATGTTATTTTTATTCACTACAAGACTTTTATGTCAACCCATAGGTATTTTTCCCATGGCTTCACCCTGCTGAATCTCTGCCTCATCCTGCAGGAAGGAGTGAGTGAGCAAGTGGCAGTGGAGGCTTCACTGCTGACTAGGATCAACCCACCACATTTCTTCTT